TATGTGAAAATGTATGATAAATTATTTTTCTATAGTCAGCCTACAGTGCTATAAAACACTAGAACTTATTCCTCCCACGTAGCTGTTATTTTATATCTGTTAACCCTCCCTCCCTATCATTCCCTCTTTCCTACCTGTCCCACCCTCGAATAACCACAATTCTACTCTCTATTTCTATGAGCTCAACATATTTTTTAGGTCCCACATGTGAGTGAAAACATTTATCTTTCTGTGCCTGCCTTATTTCACATAATATAACGTCCTCCAGACTTATCCATATTGCTGTGAATGACAGAACTTCATTCTGTTTATGGCTGAATAGTATTCCACTGTGTGTATATATACCACATTTTTTAATCCATTCATCTGCTGATGGACACTTAGGCTGATTCCATATCTTAGCTATTGCGAATAGTGCTGCAATAAACACAGAAGTGCTGGTATCTCTTTGACATATTGATTTCCTTTCTTTTGAATATAAGAAGGGACTTCATAAAGTTCATCGAAAATGCATATTATAAAAAAGTTATGGCTTTCAAAATTTTTTTCCACCAAAATAAATTGATACCAACTTGCTATAACATGTCTGAACAGGAGCTAGTTTGAAGTTCTAGGAAGGATAAGACATCAGTTTGAAAAGAGCCCTGTCAGAGCAACATGAATTCTGCTAAAATTGAAACAAGACAAACATCAAAGCTATGGTAAAACTTTGGTAGAAGAATGGTGAAATCATTGATGCTTATTAAAAGTTTATGGGGACAATGTCCCAAAGAAATATGCAGTTTATAAACGAATAACTTGTTTTAAGAAGGGATGAGACGATGTTGAAAACAAAGCCCACAGCAGCAGACCATCCATGTCAATTTTTCAGGAAGAAAATTCATCTTGTTTGTTACCTGATTAAAGAGGACAGATGATTAACAGCAGAAATAAGAGCCAACACCATAGACATCTCAACTGGTAGATTAAACAATTCTGCCTGAAAATTTAAAGTTGAATAATTAAAAAAAAAAAAAAATTTAAAGTTGAGCAAACTTTCCACTTGACGGCTGCCAATGCTATTTCATCCAGATCAGCTGCAGACAAGAGCAGAGCTTTCAATAGAAATTTTAAACAAGTAAGATCAAGATCCTGAAGCATTTCTTTAAAGAACTGTATTAAACATGGCTTTACCAGTAAGATCCTAAAGTCAAAGCACAGTCCAAGCAATGGCTATCAACAGGTGGCACTGGTCCAGTTAAAGCAAAGCAGACGGGCCAAGAGGAAAAGATCATGGCAACAGGTTTTTTTTTTTTGGTATACTTGTGGCATTTTGCTTGTTGACTTTCTGGAAAGCTGAAGAACAATATCTGCTTATTATAGGAGTGTTTTGAGAAAGTCAGCCAACACTTTAGCAGAAAAATACACAGGAAACTCCACCAGAGAGTCCTTCTCCACCACAACAATGCTCCTGCTCATTCCTCTCATCAAACATGGGAATTTTTCAAGAGTTTCAATGGAAAATAATTAGGCATCTGCTGTACAGCTCCAATTTGGCTCCTTTTGATTTCTTTTTGTTTCCTCATCTTACAAAAAAATCTTTAAAGGGCACTCATTTTTCTTTCGTTAACAATGTAAAAAAGACTGCATCAACATGGTTAAATTCTCACACTTTATGAGTAAGATTTTAAAAGCACAAGAAACAAAAGCAAAAAGAGACAATTGGGACTATATCAAGCTGAAAAGCTTCTGCACAGCAAAAGAAACAATCAACAGAGTGAGGAGGCAACCTGTAGAATGGAGAAAATATTTGCAAACTCTTCATCCAAGAAGGGACCAATATCCTGAAGCATTTCCCCTGTTTTTTTCTAGATGTTTTACAATTTTGGGTTTCACACTTAAGCCTTTAATCCCTTTTAAGTTGATCTGTGGATATGGCAAGAGAGAAGGGTCTTATTTCATTCTTCTGCACATGGATATCCAGCGTTCTCAACACCATTTATGAAGAGATTGTACTTTCCCCAATATACATTCTTAGCATCTGCACCACACTTTATACCTAGTGTTCCATAATTGGAACACTAACCCTGTAACAGTGCCTTAAATTATCTTTGCCTCATTTTTTCTTTGCCAAATAATATATACAGTAGCAACAGTAGTAGTAGTAACAACAGCATGGTCTCTTAGAGGTCTTATGAGGATTAAACAATAAAATATATGTAGAATATTTTGAGTTATTATGCTCATTATTACAACCTGCTCTGTTTCTTAATTCCTAGCATTTATTTAGTTACCGGTAATTTTATGCCCTTTTGCTTATTATTTATACTTTCAGCTTATTACTAAAATAAAACAAAAAAACCTTTCTGCTTATATCTTTAAGTAAAAAAAAAAAAAAAAAAATTACTTAACTAACAAAAAAACTGAGACTCAGTGATTTAATGCAGCAGACATTTCCAAGGGTGATTGCCCAGCCCCAGCCATTTGCTGAAACAAAGAGGAAGATTCCACAGCTAAGTCATTCCTGCCAGACCCTCCCTGGCCATGAATGATTTGTCCATTCAGGGGAAGATGCCCAATCACAGCTGAGTCAATCAGATTCTTTATCCCAGCACTTATGCTGTTTTTGCAGCACTCTGAGGGGATTCTCAAACCTGCTATCTGTTTCCTGCTTTTCCAGAAGCTGGAGTTAGGATCTGCCAATGATTCCATGCATTGGTTCCCCCAGCATCCCTCTGATAAATTTACCTTTTGTTTCTAAGCTGGTCAGAGTTAGTTTCCATTACTTAGGTGGTTGAAAGGGTTCACAGCTGAATTCTAGAACACACATCTGTCTCTTTGTGTTAGACCTCCTTAATCCACATCTATTGAGAGTCCACTGTTTGCATGACCAGATATGTGCTGTGAGGATCAGTGAGGTTTTGACAGGAAAAGAAGGGGTGTGGCATTATGAGAATAGAGAACAGCAGAAAAACACCAGGTAGATATAAGGAGCTGAAAGCAATATACTTTTACTGCAGAATAAGGCATATGAAGGCACATGGTTGATACTCAATAAATGATTCGTGAATTAATATTAAATTAGATGTAAAACTAGACAGACAAGTTGAAGACAAATACTACACAGCTTTGAATGCCAAATTAAAGGATTCAGAGTTTACTCTCCTCAGAACTGGGACCACTAAAGATTTCTGAGCAGAAGAGCCCTATAATATAAATTGTGCATTTTGAACTCTAATATCTCACCAGTCCTCACGAATGATCAGCTTATTGACAGGCTGAAATTTGTGTTTTATTTATGGCCAGATGTGGTGGCTCATGCCTATAATCCCAACACTTTGGGAGGCCGAAGCCAGGAATTTGAAACCAACCTGGCCAACATACAGAAACCCTGTCTTCTACTAAAAACACAAGAATTAGCTGGTCATGGTGGCACATGCCTGTAATTCTAGCTACTTAGGAGGCTGGGGTGGCAGAACTGCTTGAACCTAGGAAGCAAAGATTGCAGTGAGCCGAGATAGCACCACTGCACTCCAGCCTAAGTGACAGAGCAAGAGACTCTGTCTCAAAGGGGAAAAAAAGTTATTTATGTTTCTAACTAGGGACATTTAGCAGCACATTTTACAGAAAATAGGTTTCATTTCAATGTCAAATGATACTTCTTTATGGCTCTCATTAGAGAACTGAAAATACTTGCAAATACAGTATATTTGGTAATTTCATCTTCTGATCTAGAGCTAATCAAAGTTGTCAGCAAAATTAATATTAAGGTCAACAATTCTTAACTCATGAAAACCTGAGGGAGACGTGCTATTAGGACTATGCTATAACTGAGAAACTGTTAAATGCCTTCTCATACTCCTCTAATGGAGACAACCCAAGTTTCAGAGAAACAGTTTATAAGACACTGTATAACACAGTGAAGAGCACTGTGCAAATATCTGGCATATGCAACTTTGTTAGCAGGAAATGGGTAATATCAAATACAGTACCTACTATCACTGTGGCACTCCAATTTAGAAGAGCTATACTGCACCAACTTTGCTTTCCAGCCACAGAAAGGACCAAGTATGAAGTTCTATAAACACCATTCCCCCTTAATTGAGGAACACAATCGAAATACATACAAACTGATCTGCTTATTCACTATTTACCTGGCCATTCAAAGTAATAAAAATTTAAAAGTAAATGTTATGTTGAAAAAAGTCAAGGGCAAAGCAAGATGCTATCCAAACAAATTATGTGTCTCTGAACAAAATAAATGTTTCTTTCCTTTCAAATAAGAAAAAAAGAGAACCCAAAAATTCAGCAATAAAAGTGTACATGATTCACATCAATCGCAGTGATGGTATATGATGGAATAGGAAAAAATAAGTTACAAGTCATGGGTCAAATTTTTTTTCATATCCCTGCCTGTACTGTAGCTTGTGAACTCTAGAACTTTAATAGACTTTCTGAAAGCTGAAAATAATCCAGCAACTTGCACAGAGAACCTCATAAACAGTTCCGGAGGTACCATAAGAACCTGTTTCCAGCGTGTTCCAGCCATGGCTGGTTAAGTGGAATGTCCAGGCCACCAAAATAGGGCAAAAGCACCCAGACACAGCCCAAGACAGCTAACTTACCCCAAGGCTGTGTTTGACAGGGATCTGGGAACTGGAGAGGACGGAGGAGGAGGCAGGGTACAGCCTCGGCCCTTTGGCCCCGCACTCTCCAGCAGGTATCCATCCTCCCGCCCGCGCCCCGCCGCGAGGGGTACTCACAGCTCTGGTCTCGTAGAGAACCAGCTTCTGGACCGAGCTGATGATGGGGGCGGCGGCCGTGGGCATGGCGTTGGCAAATGAGGGCCCCACAACAGGGCACCAGCCGCCGGACCGCCCCAGGAGACTAGGCGAGAAAACGCCTCAGACCCTGGACATGAAGTCCAGCCAGGAACAACACCGCCTGGATGGTAAAGCTACAGAAGATCTGCTGTTTCCGGATCCCGGCGCCCCGCCTCCAGGCAAGCCCCGCCCCTCACGGCGGGAGCGGGGCTGGAGGACGTACCATAGACTGGTCGGGTAGAGGCTTCCAGGACCTGAGTGCTGTCGAGAGAGGAAGCGAAGGGCGCCATCTTTGGTAAGGACAGGAGGAAAACGTGGGCGGAGAAAATGTCGACAGATTAATCCTCCCTCTCTTTGGATTGGGTAGCTTCTTTTCAAAAGGGTTCTACCAGTTGCAGGATAGATCCTTTCTCACGTTGGTCTGTGTTTTCCACGCCTACTGCTGCTCATTTTCCTGGAAGCCGGCCCTCTGACAGTCCTTCACTAAGTATCAGTTTTCCCCTCACTTCTAATCTATGTTGTACCGATGCTGTGTGGCCCAAGGAATTGTTTTAAAACCACCTAAAGCTGGAAAGTGTGGCTTTGCCACAGGTTTGTGCCTGAGGCTAGCCACTTGAAGTTCTTGACAGACTCGAGCGCGGTGTGTTGGAGCCGCGCCTGAAAGGAGGCTTCTTCATATCATGTGTGCGACATAAATGGGCATGTGTGTACCCTCTCTTCCATATTTGTGAAAATGAGCGTATTTTAATTATGAATACTAAATTAGGTACAAAAGTGACTATTTCGAATTAAAAAAGAAATGCAATGAACTACAGCCCCGCCTTCCGAGGCCCCGCCCTCCAAGTTGCCGGTGCGCGGCGGCCCAACAGTCTCCCCGGCAACCGCCCAACAGCACCGCGGAGCCCCTTAGAGGCGGCTGCTGTCCCGCAGAGTGTCCGCTTCGGCCAGGTAAGGAGCCTTCTCGTGGCCCGCGGTGTGGTGGTCCGCCCTGGAGGCATCTTGGTATTTGTTGCACTCAACTCCGCCTCCTGCAGGAACCCTAGACCAGCTCCTTTTCTTGCAAAGCGGTCTCTTTGTAAATCCACTTTTTAAAACCATATCTTCTTTCAACCACGGAAGTATTTATTCCACAAATATTTACTGAACACCTACTGCAAGAGTATAAGATGTAGGGGAGAGGTAGCTATCCTAACTTAGGCGGCAATGCTAGATTTCCCAGGAGACGTGACACCTCTAAACCTCAGAATCTACGCTAGAGGGCTTCTCAACTGCTAAGTTTAAAAAAACTTTTTAAAAATTAAAGAATTATAGCATACACAGATAACATGTATACCAAAGATCATATTGTAAGTTAAAATTTGAGAAATCACAAAACTTTTAAAGATATACTTAATTCTATGGTTTTGTGTGCTTTCCCCGTATAGCTTGGTACTCCTTTTATTAAGAACTAGAAAGATGACGGTGTCCTTTCTGGCATTTTGCATTGACTTGGACATTTTAACTGGGAAAAAATAATTAGCTGTGTTCTATTTCATAATGAAACCAACTTTTCTGAATATTGGTTAAATATCTGCACAATGTTTTTATTTAGGGTAGCAACTCTTAAAATACCTGTAGGATTCTAGTATTCGATTATTATGGTTTAGCACTTAAATTTTGACTTTGTCTTAGTTTCTTTCACCGGGAAGCAAATCTTAAGACAAAACTTTAAGGGCAAGTTGTTTATATGGGACGTAATCCCAGAAAACAGCAGCAGGGAGGAGAAGAAAACTGATAAAGGGAATATTACCAAAGAAGTTTCTTTGTAGGCTGAATTCACTAGGGAATACTGGGAGGCATGTCTCAGTTATCCCCTCTTAAGGGGCAAGGAAGCTGGAGTATTTATGTGCTAACTCCCATCAGTTATTGGATGAAGCCTGGTATGACAGAACATTGATTCCCTAGAACTTCCAGTCTACCCTATGTTTAGGGAGAGTAGGTTCTGGCAGCTGGAGAGAGCCCTTAGGCAAAAAGTCGCTTGTGCTGACGTTTTGGAAGTTGGGCTGGTCATGCATAGAAAAGGTATATGTCAAGTCGATATGGGGAAGGCACTAATAGCAGCTGCTACATTCCACCCTTTTCAGCACTCACATCCACTCTTTCCCCACATCAAGTTCACACCATCCCACCCTGATTCTTTAAGGTAGTGGCTAGTCTTAATTTTTAAAGGGACTTACAAAAATAAAAGATTAATGGGACAAGCTGCAGAATCCACTACTGCAATAAATCTGAGGTCTGTAATTGATCACCTCCGTCCTCTACCATCATTCTAGATTTTCCTTACTCTTGGCCAGCACTTCTGCTGGCCTGTTTGCCCAGTAGGATAATGAGCTTTCATTCCTGAGGAGTGTAAGCCCTTGGTTACTGTGTCATTGTCAGGTTTTGGTTGCTGCAATTACCCATTCACTGGACATGAAAACATTAAAAGGTGTCTCAGAGAATCCCTTGAGTTCAAGAAATGCATCCCCTATCCCAATTAGGTAGCAGTTTATGGCCATACCACCCTGAACACCCCCAATCTCACCCAGTTACATAGCATCAACCCTATCTCCATCTGCCAGTGCAAAGACTCCTTATGGGCTTATGGAGTCAAAAATGACAAGGTGGCAGCAGTTGTCTTAAGATTTAATGAAAACTTTACTGGGTGCCCTGATAGAACCGTCTCTCCCATCCACCAGACCCAGGACCTCTTGTCCAGAAGTGAGGTGCAAGTTTCCCATCAATTACAAAGAGTATTGGTGAGAGGGGCCACTCCTACTTCCAGCCCTTGATTCAAAGCATATTCCTCATCTTGAAGTACATTGTCTCAGTCCCAAGCTAGTGCCTTAGCTGTGTCTTTAAGAGGCCATTCCAACATTCTGTCAAACCAGCAGCTTCTAGGTGAGGTGGTATATAAAAAGGTCCTCTGATCCAAGGCAGATCAGAGATCTCATAAAGGTAAATGAGACATACTCTAAACCTTTAGGTAGTGGTGCTGGCCAAGGCACTGCAGGTAGGAAAGACAAGCCCATATTAGGAGCACATGTCAGGTGTTCCTTCAAAGGTGAAGGGGTCCTGTGTAATCAAATTGTCACTGAATGAATGTTTTGTCTCCTAAAGGGGTTGTACCATGTTGAGGGCTGAATATGAACAGGTCTCTTCCATGAACAGGTAGAACATTCAGCAGCAATAGTAGCTCAACCAGCCTGGTGAAAGGGGGCCCTGTTATGAGCCCATGCCTATCCTTCATCACCTTCATCCCTGTCACCATGCTGACTTTGTTTACAAACCCATTATACAACCATTGAGGTGACCAGAAGCAAAGACTGGCTGGTGTCTACTGGTTAAATTATCCTGTCCACCTGGTTTTCCGGTACCTCTTCTGAAGTGGATGCTTTCTGAGATACAAATGTCTACGTATTTTACATCTACTTATATTAGTTTTCTATGCTGCATAGCAAATTACCACAAATTTAGCAGCTTAAAACAACACACATATGTGATCACAGAGTTTCCATGGCCAGGTGCCCTGGCATCACTTGGTTGGGTCATCTGCTCAGGGTTTCCCAAGGCAGCAGTCTGTTGTTGGCTGAGCTGTGCCTCCATCTGGAGACTTGACCAGGGAAGAATCCACCCCCAATCTCATTCATATGTTTGGCAACCATCATCATTTTGTGGTTGTAGGACTGAGGTCCCTGTTTTCTTAATGGCTGTTGGCAGGGACTGCTCTCAACTCCTGGATGCCACCCACTATTCCTCATCATGTGGTCCTCTCACAACCTGACAGCTTACTTCCAAGCCAACAGGAAGTTTCCCTCTAGTTCCCTAAGATGGGGTCTTATATAATGTAACATACTCATGAGACAGACATTTTATCACCTTTGCTGTATTTAGAAGCAAGTTACAGAACCCACTCCCATTCAAGGGAAGGGGATTATGTAAGGGTATGACTCAATAGAGGTGAGATTAGGGTATATTTGCAACACAACCCTCATAGGCCCAATCACATGCTTCTTCCCCAGAACTCTTTCTCTTACCTTGTGATCTTGTACTTTCTAGGCCCTTGATGAAGCCATTTAGCATTCTTTTCCAAACTGAGGGCCTAGGAATACTGCTTAAAGCTCTGCCTGCCAGGAGGATTTCCCCTAATCACCATATTTCAGGGCTACTTGTGAGAGGAACTAAAGTCTGGAAGCATTTTAATTGTAGCTTGTACCAATATATTGTGATTCATCCATGAATTTTGTTTTCATATTCTGTCAGCTGTTCTTAGGGAATTCCACATGAGGTGTAAGCTAAAAGAGACATTGGTGCATGAGACAGGTGACATGGGTGTCTGGGCTGCTTATTTATGAAATTTATTTGTGCCCTGAAGACCTGTTTGAGCCGATCCCAGTGTTCCATTTTTATCATTTAATGAGTTGCTGCTGTGCCTGCCTGACTTTAGGACTTGATCTGCCTGACATAACCAATTCATAGTGGGCACTTCCAGTTGCATAGTCACTTGATATCCCATGACCATTCATTCTCTATCAGGCATTCATTCTCTATCAGAGCCCACGAGCATGCCAAGAGCTGCTTTTTGAGTGAGGAATCATTCTCTGCTGCAGAATGCAAGGATTTACAGTGAGAGGCCCCTGTTTTGGCTTTCCTAACACTCCAAAAGGTATCCTTACATACCACAACATTGTGGGACCTTTAGCTTTGTGGGATCTAGCCAGATATATGGCCCAGGAAACAAAGCCTCTCGTGCTGCAACCTAAAACTACAGAGCTCTTTCTTACTGTGGGCCCCACTCAAAAATGACAGCTTTCCATGTCACCCATTAAATGCGTCAAAACAGTATTCTTAAGTGTGCTTCATGCTCTCTTTGAAAACTAAAGAGGCCTACAAAATACTGTGCCTCTTTTTTAGAGGTAGAAGGTACAAGGTACAGTAACCCATCCTTTACCTTGGACAGAATATTGCAGATCATTGGCCTTTTAAAACTTTACCAAAGTACTAAGACCTTTAATCTTTGTAGGTTTATCTCTCACTTTATGCTGCTTATGTATCTTTATAAGGGGATCCAGGACACTGGCCACTTCCTGCTTACTAGGTCTGATATTGTGGTTCAAGACCCCTTTATACTATATTGTCACAAACAGCAGGAGAGTCCTTGGGTAAGACTGGATGTTCACTGTCACGGTTCTAAGTGAATACAAATAGCTTCTGATTCTCTTTCTTGATGGAAATTGAAAAGAATACACACACTGCCATATCATTAGGTACATAAAA